AAAATTCTGTCTATTTGTCAGTTGATATAGCTTTGTAATTAAAGATTCTGTGACTGATGCCAGTATAATAATATAGGGATTTGCTATATACATTAGTAAAAGTCCAGATAGATATAAGAATAAAGTAGTTACTAAGTGTTGAGGTATTGGTTTCATTAAGTTTGTATGAAAGAAAAACTTGAATATTGAATGAATCAGTTCAGAAATAATCGATGTGGCTATAACTAGTATTATTTGACTATATAAAGTTTTTGTTATCAACATGTGCATCAAGATCAAACATGTTGAAATAGTGTAAATAATTGATAAGTTTATATTTAGATAAAGAGCTACAAATATCATCATTTATATTAAAGTTTCCAAGTATTATTGGATGAAGGTTATGCTGAAGGGCTTGTTGAATCCATGTAATAACAGTATTTTGTGTATTGTTATTTGTTTGCATATTGGTAGAAGAAAGATAGACAGCTATAATTCGAAGTTTAATTTTACTTTTAAAAAATAGATCTAAAGTGATTGCTCTACCAGAATGTGTTTTTCACTTGTATAATATCTTTTCCAGTCTCAGACACATATCTGCAACTTTTCTAAAAACTTTCTGTGTTTTACTACTTGCACTCTTGATTAGTTTGTATTCAATATATGACATGTCTAATACTGTTTTATTTTTTGTTTCTCCTATTGCTTCTATCTATTCTTCAATTGTTATTTCTGTTTTTAACTTCTTATATCACTTTTCTTTGACTTCTGCAAGTAGTTTATAAAACTTTTCTATTACTTCATCATCTTCAATAACATCTTTCTTTTTGAACTGCTCACTGAAATGTTTTTTGTTTGCTTTAATATTGCACTTGGTTTACTGATTAATAAGCATCTATCTTCTTTTTGTTTTAACACTCGATTGATTCTGATTTTATTGTATAGTTTGTCTAGAATACTAATAAGCAGCTTTTCTACTTCTCTGTCAATTCTCTTACATCTTCTATCTACTGTAGTATTAATTTCATTTCTTGTACATTTGTCTTTTTTACTTTCTCTGTTACTTTTAATGCCTGCTACTGCTTTTTTGTTAACTGACACTATTCTTCCAGATCTGCTATTTTGTCTTCTCCTATATAACCTATTTCTAGACTATATTTTATATTTATCCAATCTACCTTTATGTTGTCTTTCTTTAAGTTTAGTTTAGTTCCTTTTCTTTTAGCCAACTTTTTAGTCATCTGCAGTAGCTTACTTAGTGCTACTATTCTTTTGTGCAACATTGTTGTTCTCTTCTTTCTTTCAATATTACTATTTCTTTGAATTATCTTCTTTTTTGATATGTTTTTATTCACTGCATCTTTTATTGCATAGGATATTATATCTCACACTTTGTCTATATCAATGCTATATCCAACTTCTTCAAATACTTTAAGTTTTCTATTCTTAGATAAGTAATTTTTTAGATCTACTTGATAATCTTCCCAATTTTCTTTCATTGCCTTATCATAAAAATAAATTGTTTTTGTTAATTCTTTCTTCTTCATTTCTGTTACATTATGTGTTTGAATCAAGTATTTGAACATTAACATTGTACTAACAATGTTATATTCACTTGATGTTATAAATTCTGCATTAATTATTTCTGTCTGTTCTAACCTAATTGTAGATCTTCTAACACCTATATTTAGTCAATTCTCATTTGTATACCTTGTTTTGTCCAAGTGTACCCTCTTAATTCTGGGTTGCAGATTCTGTATATATCAGCAAATCTCTGTATTATCAGTTATTTATGTAGTAGAAGTGATCCACTACTATTATTTTTACTGCTATTCATCTTATCTAGTTTGCTATCTACTACATGATTAAAATCACCCATAACTATGAACTGTGAGTTATTTGTTTCTTTACATACATATTTACTATTTTTTGTTACAATTTTCTTATTTTTTTCTTGCCACTTGAGAAAATATATACTACTATTATTGTTATTTCTATCTGCTTAAAGTAGAATTTTGTTCTGATTAAGTACTTTTCAAATCTACAGATTTTTCCTATATGTTTTTTCTATTTTTTGCTTACTAGTAAGCCAACATCTAATTCTTTTTTCTTTGTACTTTCACTTTGTGACCAAACACTTCTATAATAATTGACTTCTAAACTGTATTTTCAGTTCTTTACTATTACTATTTGTTTTTACTAATTCCAGAATATTAACATTTTCTTTTTTTGTCCACTCAACTATTGTTCTTAGTTTGATCTTGTTACTCTTTATTTCATTTATATTTTGACATTCTATCTTAACACTTGTTATACCCCTTCTACTTGTGTCATATCTGCTCATACTATGTGCACACTTCTTACTAATGCTTTCTAACTCTATATTCAACAAAGTGGTTACTTTCTCTTGAAAAACACCTATAGCAACTTTTAGAAACAATTTGGGAGCAAGCTCCTTAATTGTCTTTCTTCAATATCATCTAGTCTTCTTAATATTCTGCTAAGAACATCTTGTATCTTACTTTTTGACTGTTTTACATAATTTGCTTTTATCTGCATATTATTATTATATTTTCTGTTGACTTGTTTATCTTTCTTTTGCTGGTTTTCTTTATTACTCTCTTCTTTCTTAATGTTTTCTTAACTTTTCAAATATCTTTCATACTGTAAACTTTTATTCACAGAATATTTTTTTATATCTTTGTTTTTTTCTCTTTTGGTTTCAATGTTTTTAAATGCTCTTTTGTTATACTACTCTAATCTTGTGTTGTAATAGTACAGCTCCTTATTGGTAGCTATTATAAAGTCTTCTTCTGTTTAAAGTAAACTAATGCAGTTTTCATTGGTTTTTGTTTCTATTTACTGAAATATAGACTACATTCACCTTTACTGCTTTTAGTTATCTTAATAATAGCACCTCTATTGCTGTGTTGAAATATTTTTAATTATTGCCTTATGTAATGTTTTACTTTTTAATATTTCTTTCACAAAAGTATCTGGAGTAACTCTACATGTTTTGCCTTCTTCAAAATGCACTGACTATGCCTGATCAAGTATCGATTTTCTGTCCTTATTTCTAAACTTAATAGTAAATGTCACTTCTTTACTATTACTACAACTTTTCCATTAGATAAACCTAATTCTATCATAAAACTGAAAACATTTTCTTACATGTGCTGGTCTTACCTCTATTGGAATATCCTACACTGTATAGATATTGTTCTTTAACTTACTATCTTCTTTATTCTTATTGTCTCATTTGTATATTTTTGTTTTTCTGTTTGTTCTTTTTGTATTTGTTCAATGTTTATAATTACTTCAGGTTTTCTTTCTTTTTTGCATTCTACTTTTTTTTTGTTTGTCTTATACTTCTCACTTATTTTTATACTACTAGCTGTGTTCTTCTGCTAATGTTTTTTTCTGTTTTACTTTTTTTTTCTTCTTTATTTTTCATTATTAAACTCTTTTTTGCTTGCTTTTCTAGTATATCATAATCTATGCAATCACATTTTTGCTTAAGCAATATTCTTTATTTATTTTGTCTTCATTTAATTGCTCTACACTATTCTTTTTTGGTTTCTTGCTGTCTCTTACTTATATATACTTACAGTAATTATATACTTCAATTAAGTTTTTAAACATACAAACAAGACTGCTTCAGTGCCAACTAGTCTGGCCAATTTCTTATTTTTTTTTAAAACTCTTAATTTATAACTATCTACTAATTTTTTTTATTCTGTTAGATTTATTAAACATGTTACAATACTTTTCTAATTTTTTATACCAGTTGATCTTTGTAGATTCTAATTGAACTTTTTGTATTATACTTTTTTGCATTATTTCTATATTTTAACTAAATATATTTAACAAATATTTTATTATATATATATATATTTACTTGTTTATCTGCAAGATTTTGTATTATTTATTTGTATTGTTATGTTTACTGTTTACTTTAACTTGCTTTATGTGTCACGTGTTTGATCTGCAATACAGGGATTTTATGTTTTTCCTTTTTTTTGTCAAAAATTTTTAACAAAAAGCAAATTTTTTTCTAAAAGTCAAGAGTGACTACTATATTGCTATCAACTTGGTCTACTATTCTGACAAACTATATCTAATTTCTTACTGGCTTTAACTTTGCTTAGTTGACAATTACACTTTTACTTACTGGCTTTTATAATTTTTATGTTTTTCTTTCTGTTTTGATTTTGGTTATAAGGATTAGCAGAAAGAGTTTTGAATTATATCAACTTGCATTATTATACTTTATATTTAAATTTTATTTAATAAGTATTCTTGTGTTATTGGATTTTCTTTTATCATAAGTGGTTGTTATTGTTAGATATTGATTTGTTTTTTTTATATAATAGATTTAAAAAAATATAAATACAAGTCTAACATAAAAGATAATAATAAAAGAATTTTTAATACAATGAAAAACAAATCTAGAAATAGTATACCACATACTCTGCTGCATTTATTACTTATTCCTATTCAAATATCTTCCAACTTTTAAATACTAATAATATTTTTGGACCTTATTAACCACCTAATCCTAATAATGATGGTTTATCTTCTTTAATCACTAAAAGTATTAGAAATATTTAAAGAATATATTTAAATATAGGCAGATCTTCTTTACAAGCATCTCAACATCAATTATATAAACAATTCATCATTTATTTTATATCTCACCAATTTTTCATTACTCATTTCATATTTTGCCAGTTTTTTATTATATCCTAAAATAAATCTACTTCCTATCATAAATCTAGATATCATTTTAGATCATACTATACTGATTATAAGTGATTATTATATCCAGTTTAATAATCTTCTTCAAGATTATGATTACAAGAAAGATTAGTAACACATAATAGAAGATCATCAAATCAAAATCATATACATAGTCAAAGTAGTACATATATAAAGTCTTTTTTTTTAACAATTTGCAACAATTTGCTATTAATTTTTTTTTTATTTATTTTTATAATTACATTAAGCAAACTATGACCACTCTAATTACTTTGACTGTTTTGATCACTCTGACCACTCTGGCTGCCTTGACTGTCATAACCTTTATGACTGCTATAACTGTCATGACTGCCATAACTACTATTAGTATTATCAGCAAGTTGATAAGCAAATGCTTGTCAAACTTAAACATTTATATTTAGTACTTAAAAAACTTGAGAAAAGTACAAATAAAATTAAAGCCTGGCTAGATCACTTGAAAAGAAATCAAGAAAAACAAAAGAACAATCTCTCTAAACAAGTGATAGATAAAAATGGTTTAGATTAGTAACAATTTAGATTTAGCATGTTTAAGCAGTATATAGTATCTAGAATCTAGCATGTTTAAGCAATATATAGCATCTAGTATATAATACATATATTGTTTTTTAAAAATATAGGACATATTTACCTATATGGCCAAGCAGCTCTTCTCTTATAACATATATTCTAGTCAAAGTGATTTGTAGTATGCACTTAAACAATACCTTAAAAAAAGATATTCTGAGTTTATGCATAGTTTAAATTCTAATTAATATAATAATAGGTTTTATAAAAAATGGTTTAGTTCTGTATATATTGATATCTATTGTTTTTTAAAATTTATTTCTTTTAATTATGACTTATTACTAATTTTTGCAATAGTTTTGCAAAAAATAAAGAATTTGCAAGGTGCATTGGTTTAAAACATAAAGGCAGCAGTCTGGCATATGTTCAGTTATAAAAGACTACTATTATTAAAAAAAATATTACACTAGATGATATAGTAAGTTAAAAGCAAAGTGATGAAGTTTTGGATTGTTATTATGTGCTCTTTGAAATAAACAATGAAGGTGTCTTTTGGATATTAATAATTACAAGAGCAGTCTTTTTCAAAATTGCTGTACCTACACTCTCAAATAAACATTATGCTTTTATACTTACAGTCTGTGATATTTTACTTAATCCCAAGTCCAAAAGTGTCACATGTTTAGAAAAACATTTTGTGTTATATTGAAAAATAACTTATAAGTAAAATTAATAACTGCATATACTTTATTAATAGAAATTAATTAATTATTTTTAATATAAAACAATTTTGATAATAGTGGTTTATCATATAAAACAGCTAAATTAATACTAAACAATAAGAATTATAATTGTTCAAGACAAGTATTGCCTTAGTATAAATTATCACCCAGTATGAACCTGAAGCAGATCCTTCATCATTTTAGCAATTATTTCAATGTCAAATAAAACTTTCACAGAAGGATGCTGATAACTTATTTGGCAGCAATGATTAAATTTTTACTTCAAATGTTTTTTTTGAATTAGTTTACATTTGCTAGCAGTTATTATATAATAAATTATAATAAATTTTATTATTTATGTTATAATATAATTATACAATTTTAGTAACAGTAATAAAATTATATTATATATTATAATTGGCTTTATAAAAAATATATGTTTTATAAATATTTTATTAATAATATCATCTATTAAAAAAAGCATTTGATTAAACTGATTATATATTGATTAATAACCTTATTAGATATATATTGCAATAAGTAAATAGTGAGTCTGTCACTCCAACAAACAAGACCTCATATAACATTACAAAATGGCAAAAATAAGGCTTTAAGGCATGAAATGATTTGGGTAAGTATTTACTTTTTTTTATTTTTATTTATTGGATTTGAGTTTCTCTATTTAATGTCACTTTAACTAAATATTACTATCTACTATTATTGATAAAAAACTTTAGTCCTTCCTCCCATTAGTTAAAGCACCCAAGTGATAAGTAATTTTATTAAAATTTCTGTTTTGCTTTTATACACTTTTTGCTTATACTAACTAATACTATTTGTTTTTGTTTTTTTTTTAATGTTAATAGTGAGGCCATGTCTCTATCTTTATTGAATATTTAACTGAGATTTTATATAAAGTTTAAATCTACTTTTAAAATATTATAG